GCCGATTTCTTGCTAAAGCGATGTAGTTGGGTCGCGTGTTGGGTCGCAGGTGGGTCGCGGGTGGGTCGACGGTGGGTCGCGGGTGGGTCGTGGGCCGGGTCGCGGGCCGGGACGCGGGTGGGTCGAGGGTGGGTCGCGGGTGGGTCGAGGGTGGGTCGCGGGCGGGTCGCGGGGTGGATCGCTGGCTGGGTCGCGGAAGGGTCGCGGGGTGGGTCGCGGGTGGGTCGCGATGTGGGTCGCGGGTGGGTCGCAGGCAGGGTCGCGGGGGGGATGACGACAACAACAACATCAACAACAACAACAGCAACAATAATCCTCACCACGGATCCGCATTTCAGCCACGCACCCAGGGACAGTGAATGACCGTTCGGCCCCCTCATTCTGATGTGCGCTCTCCCAGGAGAGCTGCCCCGCTGCAGTGAGGCTTTCCTCTATAGGGTCCGCTCTGCCTGCCCTCCCGCTTCTGGCACAGCGACCCCACATGCGCGGCAAGTGCTTTCTGGACACACCCTGGCGGCAATGCCAGCGGTCTTCGGTACGTGCTCTCGAAACGTCGGAGGGTCTGCCCTCTGGGACACAGCCTGGCAACAATGCCAGGCTGCGTCCACCCACCCCACCCAGGAGGCAGACGCCTCTTGGACGCAGCATGGCGGAAATGCCAAGGGATTTGTTTGTGGCGTTTGAGTGCTTGGACACGTCGGAGGTCTTGGAAACGCGTCCTGGACCCCAGGGTTTCCCCCGGGACCCTGAGTCTTTGTCTTGACCTCCACGGTCCCAGGTCTTCGGGAGGGCCACAGAAGCTCGAGCACGACGAACAGCTTCCAGGCCCCCTCTCCTCCAGTACCCTTAGGTCGGGCCTGTTCCTCTACAGGAGGGATATTCAACATAGTAAAAATAGTCAGGGGACCATTTTGTGAGCATGCTTTGCACATGTTTGCATGTTGTTTTGGTTTATTTTCAATTTTTCCTCAAATCCCCTTGTAGGGGGACCCACCCTAACAATACCTTGTTTTTCGCGGCCACTGGCGGCTGCTGGACTCCCAGACAGCACCCGCTGTGCCTCCCCCGGACGCACAGACACAGACACAGACACAAACAAGCGTCACAGACACAGACACAGGAGGTGAACAAAGCGCACAGACTGGAGGTGAAGAAACGCACAGGCACAAACAAGCGTCGATTCTCCCACGAGAACACGGGAGAATACAAGAAGTGTGTGTGTGTGGGGGGGGGAGACGAAAATTCCGAGCATATGGGAACATGTGGGGATTCCTGGGATTTGTGTCTACATCCAAGACGCTGAACGAAGGAAAGCCTCGGGGGCGGAAGGGGCTCACTGTTCCTTAAGCTCTTCCATGGCACCTGGGCGCTTCTGGGGCCAAGGAGGTGCTTCGTTCCTTGTTTAGCGTTCTTCCGCAGGCCTTCGATGGGACATCGAAATTCCATGTATGGAACAAACGGGCCTCGTTCCCGATTGAGGGTTCCTGAGGTCCACGCCCCGACTGTAGGAAGATATGGGGATTCCTGGGATCTGTGTCTACTTGGTTGCGTGTGTGTGCGTGGGCCGCCTTCGGCCAGGCTGTGCTGCCCGCCCGCCCTCCCCGCGCGCCTCGGGCCCTCCCTGCCAGGCGGGGCGAAGCGCAGCGTGAGCTCGCAGGCCTGCATCGCCAGGACGCCCCCGTCGACGCTCGTCGTCGCTCGTCGTCGCTCGTCGTCGTCATCGTCGTCGTCGTCGTCGTCGTCGTCGTCGTCGTCGTCGTCGTCGTCGTCGTCGTCGGCGCTCATCTCCGTCGTCGTCGTCGTCGCTCGTCGTCGTCGTCGTCGCTCGTCGTCGCTCGTCGTCGTCGCGCTCTGCGGAGTCGCCCCGCGCGCTGCGGAGTCGCCCCTCGCGGCGGCGCAGTGGGGCCGGGCGGGAGCACGGGAGAGGGGCCGAGGTGGCCTCCGTTTGCTTGTCCGCCTCTCTCTCTCTCCTGCCTCTCCCTCCCCCCCGTGCTGTGGCCTCGCGTGCGGGGGGCCTGCTCGGCGTGGCTTCCCGGGCGAGGCGCTCCGGACGTCCCCTGCAAGGTCCTCTCAGGGCGTCGTGCGGTCCTCTCCGACCCGCTGGGGGCCCGTCGTGCCTGCTTCCGCGCGGCAGCCAGGCCGCCCCGCGGGGGCGCGGAGGTTGCCGCGCGCCGTGCGCCGCGGGGCGCGAGGCGTGACCGCTGCCTGGTCCGGGCCCCGCTGCTGCTGCGCAGCCGCCCCCCTTGCAGCCCACGGCCGCTCGAGGAGGCCGCGGGGGCGCGCAGTGTGGGCGCGCCCGGCGCCCCAGGCCGGTGCGAGCGGGGTGTTCTGGGCCCGGCGGTGCTGCAAGGAGTCTCGCTGCCCGCGGGGGCCTGTCGGCGCCGCGCCGCCCGCGCTGCGGGATCGGCTGCACCCGAGAGCGACCCGTCGCCAGGGGGACCTTCGGTGCGGGAGCAGAGGGGGGCCCCCCCTGGTGCCCTCCCCAGTAGTGGCCTGCGCGCTTGGAGTTGGCCCCAGAGAGGCGCACGAGAGGTCGCCCTCGCCCAGGGTCACTCTTACGTGTAGGCGAAGAGGACGGTCCGAGAAGGTCGTCCTCCCCAGTTTGCGGCTTGAGAGAGTCGCAGCGCTATGGTTGCTTTTCGTTGAGGTGTATCACGCACGGCTTCTACCCGAACGTTTTCGCGGTTTGAGATAGTCACACATCCTCATAGTTGAATTCTTGTGGACGGGAGGGGAAACACATTCGGCGTCTGGGGATTCTGAACAAAGATTGGGTCCAGAGGCAAGGGGTCGAGACCTCATGGGGGTCCACGCTGTCAAAACACCGCCACGTCGGCGGCCTCTGCCTCCTCCGTGCAGCCACTCCGGCTCAGCCAACAAAGAAAGCAGGGCCGGGCACGCCCCGCCTGTCTCTCCGTCGAGTCGCGATGGCGTCGCTGGTGGCCGGGAGCCCAAGAAGAGCGCACTCACACCACCACTGCCTATCTCCCACCGTCCCCCCCGGGGAGAGGAGAGGAGAGGAGAGGAGAGGAGCGCAGGGGCGGAGGGTGGAGGTGGTGTGGGGGTTTCGGGGAGCGCCAACCATCAGGAGGGGAAAAGCACAAAGACACAATGGATCGTCGACCTCCAGGAAAATGCGGGAGGTGGAGGGGGAAGACGAAAGCCCAAACACTATATAGGAAACTACGGGGCATCCTTGGATGTGTGTCTATTTCTTTGTGTGTCCCTGGGCCCTTCTAAACTACCCAGACCTTCGACGGCCCGATTTGTTTTGAGGGCGGAGGTCGTGTTGGGGGAGGGGAGCACGAACTACCCGGACCTTCGACGCCCCGGCTTGTTTGGTGGGACAGTTTTTCAACCATCATTACCATGGGTAGGACGGGGGAGATGGGAGGATTGATCCTCCTCCTCCTCCTCCTCCTCCTCCTCCTCCTCCTCCTCCTCCTCATCGTCCTCCTTCTCCTCCTCCCCTTCCCCCTTCTCCCCTTCCTCCTCCTCCTCCTCCTCCTCCTCCTCCTCCTCCTCCTCCTCCTTCTCCTTCTCCCCTTCCCCCTCCTCCTCCCTCCTCCTCCTCCCCCTCCTCCCTCCTCTCCTCCCTCCTCTCCTCCTCCTCCTCCTCCTCCTCCTCCTCCTCCTCCTCCTCCTCCTCCTCCTCCTCCTCCTCCTCCTCCTCCCCATGGCAGTGGTGGCGGTACATCGGGCCATCATTGTTTTTGAGCCGCGGGCCCCTGAGGCCTCTCCACCCCGACCCCGCTCCCCGAGGGCCAGCCTCTCCCCCCGACCAGGCTCACAGCGGGCCCGCAGCGGGCCCCGGGAGGCCGAAGACGCTTGGAAAATTTTGGCGCGCCTCTCGAGCAGGGGAGCGATGCCAGCCGGCCCAGATTGGTAGGTCGACCTTGCCCTGTGGCAATGTGGCCCTCGGAAGGGTCGTGTGTCCTCTCGCGTGTCCCGTCCAACCAGGTGCGACTGTACGGTGGAGGCCCATGCCAAGAAACACCCCGCTTGCCTCCAGGGTGCCCTGGGTCTCTTGGGTTCCGATGGTTTTGCGACGGAAAAATGGTCGAAGGGTGACGTTCCCACAGCAAAAGTCAATGGACGTCCTGGGGTCTCTGGGTCGGGTTTCTCGTGGAAGGCTTCTTGTGGTCGGACCCCTACCGTGCAGGATCGGTTCCAGAATTCATTTCCTCGTCGAACCTACTTACGGAACGCACGCGCAGAATGGTCCGTGCATCTCGACGAAGACACGACTTCGGGGGCACGGCCAACTTCTGCAGCCGATCCCGCCTGCCCGAGCCTGTCCCCAGCGGTGCCTGGGCGGACGCAGACCTCGGTCGGGGGGCAGCTGCGGGGCCCCGCGGAGGTGCCTCTGGCCAGACCGGGCCAGGGAGGCGCAGACCCCGTCGGGAGCCTGGGGACGGGGGTGCGTGTCAACGGGGGGTCAGCCAGAGCGCCCGAGATCGCAGGATCCTGCACGGCCGGGGTCGCGTTGACCCGGGCTGGGGTGCAGGAGGTTGCAGGAGGTTGCAGGATTCTGCAAGGGCTGACTGACCCGGGTCTGGATGGACCCGGGTCAGAAGATCCCCGACCCTGGGGCCCCAGGGGGGTGGGCCCCGTCTGGACCGACGCTGGTGCACAGTCCAAGACTTCGGTCGGGCCTGTCCCTCTAAAGGGTAAATATCAAAAAAGAGTCAACAAAAATAGTCTGGGGACGAGGTTTTCGTACTGTTTGGCTATGTTTGATCTTTTTCTCTGCTAGCTTTCAATTGTTCGTCCAAGTCCGCCTGTAGGGGGGCTTGCCCGACCTACGCGTTTCCCCGACTTCGGCCTCCTGGCTCCTGGGGCGGTTTTCTGGCCCCCGGGCTGCCAGGTGCCCACGGATACTTTTCTGTTACAAAGAAAACGCGACGCCGGAGGTCCGGGGCTGGCGTCCTCGATCCTCCTTGGGGTAGGGTCCGGGAGGCATCGGCCGCGTGCCTTGTCGTGCATGGGGGGCCCCGGAGATGGCGCTGGCGACCCTCCCGCTCCTCGCGGTCGTGAGCAACGCCCAGGACTGGCACCAGTTCGCGACGGTGCAGGCCCGGCAGCGCGCGGAAGCCAGCGTGAGGACAGGAGCTCCGAGGGAAGGGGGCCCTGAGATTCTTCACCGTTTTCGGGCTCCCCCGGAGCCCTTCTCGGGACCCTGGACCTTCAGGAGGCGCTCCCGAATGCCTTCGCAGGACTTCCACCACGACGACGACGACGACGACGACGACGACGACGACGACGACGACGACCACGACCACGACCACGACCACGACGATGTCGACGGCAGGCGCGTGGTGCGTCCATGAATCTGGGCACCACCGCGGACCTCGCGGACGTCCTCGACCACTTCCTCTCGACCTCGGGCAAGGTTGAGGATCCGGGACGCTCGCGCGCCGCCAGGGGGTCCGATCCTCCCGCCCCCCGTCCCCAGAAGCCTGGTGTCCGGAACGAATCAGAGCGTTTTGCCCTTAACAGCGCTTGCACCGAGGAGCTCCTCTGCTGTTCCCTAAGCACAGTCGACGCACGCAATAAGGATGAGCGATTTTCCAAGGTTCCCAATGCATCCTTCCCCCTCGGCCCATCCTTGGCCGCCTTCGCTGGCCGCACTCCGCTCGCAAAGTCGGCACGGCCTTCCAAGGCCCTTGCATTAAGTCGGGCATGTCCTTCTGCAGGAGGAATATTAGAGAATAGTTGTTTAAAACAGTCTGGTAACGATATTATTGTTTTTGTGGTAATGTTTGATCATCGCTTGATGCTTTTATTATCTTCCAAAATCTGCCTGTAGGAAGACATGCCCGACCTAACCCTTTGCATCCTTCTCGTTCGTCCTTATGACAAGGTCTGACTGTGCTGGACAGATCCGCAGGGCTTCCGCACAGCGGCGGGTGCACGTGGCCTCCTCGTGGGCGCACTTCGTGGGTTGGGCCCGGTGCTTCGGTCTTGCTTCGGCCGGCGGGCGCCCGTGCAGGAGCCACTTCGATCTGATCACGGCGAAGCTGCAACCCCTGCAGTCAACCCGCATCGTAAGGAGAAGCGACCTCCCCAAGGGAACCCTTGCATCCTTGCCTCCTCGGTCCATCCTTGGCCGCTCTCGCTGGCCGCGCCCCGCTCGCAGAGTGTCGACATGGCCCTCGAAGGCCCTTGCATCCTCACCATGCGTCCTTTATGGTACGGGTTGACTGCACCGATCCGTCTCCGCTTCCCGATCCAACTTCTTCCGAGGCGGAGGCGGCCACGAGGCGGCCGCCGCCCGATGGCGGCCGCCTCTTTTGGCCGCCTCGTGCGATGGTTGACACCGCTGGGTGCACGCGCAGGCATGGCCAGCTTGCGCCACACCTCTTGCACCGCATGGCTAGCACCACACGGCTTGCACACCCCAGGGGAGGAAGAGGCACCCCTGCCGGTGCCTCTCGCCCTGGGAGGCCCTCTCGTCGACGCCGCTGGATTCGCCTCGAAATGCTGGTCAGAAGGCGCCCCAGGAGAGGTCTGGGGAGTGGCGTTATGGGTACCTTTTGGTTTCCCCATCACCACCTAGCTTGACGTCACAGTGTGCACAATATAGTCTGCATCGTCTTAGCATGCAGCAGATGGCTCGCACCATATACCGCACACACAAACACACACACACACACACAACACACACAACACACACACACAAACACACACACACACACGCACGCACGCACGCACGCACGCACACACGCACACACATACACAAACACACACACACACACACACGCACACACACACACACGCACACACATATATATATATATATATATGCATACACATACGTGCATACACAGACACATGTATACATACGGGGCGTCTGGGTCCTCGGGCCCAGGGGCAGCACTTTTTTCCAGAACTGCCCCACCCCCGCACCAGACTCTAGACCCTGGGGCTGGTGCTTTGTGGGCCCTCGTCAGCGCTCCAAGCGATTTCCCAGACCAGGCACCCAGGGGCCTCCAGGGGCCTCCAGGACGGCCACAGAGGATGCAAAGGAGCCGCCAAGAAGGACCAACACGACCAAAGAGGCGCCTAGATGGCCGCAAACCGGCCAGAAGAGACCCCAAGGACCGAGCAAACGGGTCCAACAGGGCCCGCGAAAGGGCCTCGAGAGGCAGGTTTGCTGATTTGATCATAGGATTCTGGCTCCAAGAGGCTTTCAAGAGGGCCCCAAGCGGCCAAACTTCATGTTAAACTGAAGGGGAACGATGCGTTTTTGAAGATCTCGCCTTTTCGCTTCCGATGGGCTTCTGAGGCTTTTGGATAGTCGTCAAATGGCCCAAGCCTGCTCCAAGAGGAGCCCCACAAGACCACAGGACGGCCCCCAAAGCGCCCCAAAGTCCCCCTATGACGGCCAAAGAGACCTCCTAGAGTGTCCCCCAGACGGCTTCTGAAAGCGTCAGACGGGCCAAGAACGCTCCAGAGGAGCCTGAGGGAGTCCCAAGACGGTCAACTGAGGCCCCCGGGACCCTTGAAGATGGGCCCGAGACGGCCAAAGATGGCTTCAAGACGGTCTTCGAGGCCGCCAAGACAGTTCAAGATGGCCCCCAGGCGGCCCCAAGATGCTTCCTAGAGGCCTGCAGAAAGGCCAAGTCCTTTGAGCACTCACGGAAAACTTTGGGTTTCTGAAGACCTCGCCGCTTTTCTTCTGATGTGCCTTTGGGGCCTCAGGATGGTCCAATAATGGCTCCACGGGAACCCGAGATCAGGAAGGACGCACGAGGATAGGAGAGAAGAGCGAGAAGGGAGGGACAGAGGGTGGAAGGGAGGAGCCAGAGGAGGAAGTATAGGGGAAAGGAGACGGAACATGTATATATATATAGATATATATATATTGGGCAGGGCAAGTACGTAATTGGAGGAGAGCGACAAAAGTCTCAAGTGGTCCAGAGCTTTTGCCAGACGTGGCGATACGCATCCATGATGTCGAAACGTTGGCCTTTGTTGCGCGAGAACCTAAGCGTGCGCGAAGCGCGCGTGTTTCTAGTCCACACATACTGTGCTACATATGTTGCACCGCATATTTTGCACCAGATGCGATGCAGAACACAGCTCGCACCACAAAGCCTGCACAACGTGGCAGAATGCACCACGTCGATCTTCGTTGCGGAAAGGAAGAGTTCACTCTACCTCCATGCCGAGGCCAGACGTACACGACGCCCCCCCCCCCCTCTGCGCACTGAATTGTCATATGTATGTCGCATCTTCGCTCTTCGTCAGCATCAACGGATGCCATCCCAGCCAGGCCCCTCTTTCGTAACTCCCCCTTCATCCCTTGCCAAATCATTCAGGAGGGGGAAACAAACACACAGACACAACGAATCGCCGATGCCCAAGAAAATATGGGAGCATATGGGAATTGGGGGGGCCAGAGCATATGCGAAACGTATGGGGAATTCTGTCATGTGCGTCCATGGAGTAGTGTGTCCCAAGGCTTCTTCAATCCTGCCATGCTGAGCTCTCGCTTAGATTTCACGGGTGCGTTTGTCGGGCCCAGCGTGCGACCCCCCCCCCGCGCCGCGTGCACACGCCGAGACCACTGGCAGACACACGCACGTGACGCTCGAAGCGTTTCTGAAGACAGCTGGTGTTCAGAGCGTGTGGGCAGCAATGGCTTCCAACTCGGATAGATATCGGAGTTTCTGCGCGCGCGTGCACTCCTTCCTCACCCTCATCAGAAGCAGCGTCCTCATCGCCAACGCCACCATTGCCACCGTCATCATCCCCTTCATCATCTCCATCAAAGTCACTGGCGTCGTCGTCATCATCGGCGTCGTCGTTGCAGGCGCCCTCGTGATCAATGCCACCACCGTCATCATCATCATCATCATTCATCAGCATCATCATCATCTGCATCATCATCCTCATTATCATTATCAGCATCATCATCAGCAGCATCACCATCATCAATATCGTCGTCCTCATCGTCGATGTCCCTGTCACCATCCTTATTCGTCCGCCCGAGTCATGGATCTGCAGGGCCATGGTCCTTTCGTCACTGCGCCACTCGAGATCCGTGAGCAAATTCCGATGGGTAACTGCACCCACCGCTTGTGTCAGTTTCGCGGGCAAGTCGTCGCTTGTGGGTGGGTGGGACGTTTGCTCGAGCATGGGAGGTGTTTTTCGCGGCGCAGGTAATAGTCCATATAGCTTTCATCACATAAATTCTCCTATCTAAAAAGAGAATAGACTCTACCCCCTCCCGCGTTCGCCGCCCCCCTTTCGGGTATGTAAACCATATATGATTTTGACCACATGTCCATCCGAAATATGAATTTGCACTATCCCCGGCGGGGCGGTATCGGTCCCCCAGAGGTTCCCTTGTAAAAAACGATACGCGGTGACATCTTTTGTTCTAACATAACACTTTTAAAAGAGTCCCTTGCAAAGCATGGGACGAAGTGCATACGCGCGCGCCGTCGCGCGCGCATGCCGAAATCCTCCAACAACCTTCGGCGCCGGAAGGATTTCGCAACCGAGTTTCCAAAACAACATACAAAAACAGGGTTTCACAACACTGATTTGCTAAAAAAGCTTACGCGCGAGCTCTTGTGAAATCTTCGAAAACCCTGGGTTTTTTCAAGATTTTCACAAAATGCTACCAAACGGGCTTCGCGCGCGCATGTCGAAATCTGTCGAACGCCCTTGCGCGTGTGCCGTCGCGAGAATCCTCCTGCAAAAAATGGGACGAAGTGCAGATGCGCGCGTCGTCGCGCGCGTATGCCGAAAGCCTTCAAAACCCATTGGCTTCGGAAGGATTTCAACATCGTGTGTCCAAGAAACCTACAAAAACACAAGGTTTCGAAACACGGATTGTCAACAAAAGCGTGCTCGCACGCTCTTGCGTCGTCGTCGTCGTCGTCGTGGCCGTCCTCCCTCCTCCCGCGTCGTCGTCGTCGCCTACGTCGTCCTCTGTCTTTCCTCGTGTCCGTCGTCGTCGTCCTCTTTGGCGTCGTGGTCGTTTCCGTCGTCGTTGTCGCCGTGGTCGTCCTTCCTCCTCCTCCCTCGTCGTCGTCGTCGTCCGTCGTCGTCTCGTCGTCGTCCCTCCTATTTCGTGGCCGTCGTCGTTGTCGTCGTCGTTGTCGTCGTCGTCGTCTTCCCTCCTCCCTCGCCGTTGTCGTCGTCGGCGTCGCCGTCCTTCCTCCTTCTTCGTCGTTCGCGTCGTCGCCGTCCTCCCTCCTCCCTCGTCGTTGTCGACGTTGTCGTCGTTGTCGCCGTCCTCCCTCCTCCCTCGTCGTCGGCGTCATCGTCGTCGGCGGCGGCGTCGTCGTCGTCGGTGTCGTCGTCGTCGTTGTCGTCGTCGAAGTCGTTGGAGACGTCGTTGGTGTCGTCGTAGTCGGTGTCGGCGGCGCCGTCGTCGTCGTTGTCGCTGTCGTCGTCTGCGTCGTTGTCGTGGCCAAGTGCCATGTGGTACCTACAGTCACGGTCTTGTCCTCAGAGGTCATGCGACCAAGTTGCGGGTGGGAGGGTGGGATGTTTGCACGAGCAGTGAAGAGGACTGCTTCAAGACGGTCAAAGTCAGCTGCACCCCATAGGATGCACCACTGTAGACTGAAACATCACACGTTGCACTACAAAGGGCGCACCCCGTAGCTTGCACCAAATACGTTGCCCTGAACAACTTGCGCCATGATGCTTGCACCACCCAGCTTGCATCTGCACCCCACACATTGCATCACTGAGGCTGCACCACAGACTGCACCATGCATATTGTATTTCACAGATAAACGCAAAACCGCACACCAACGCATCGAGAGTGAACCACCCACTGTTTAGGGCCCACGCTGGCTAACATCTGCGGGTTAGTCTTGATTATGTTTGGCCTCCAGGGGGCGATTTCTGGGGCCCAGGACAGAAAGCGGCCTCGAACTGAACATCGATTCTAGGGAAGAGTCCGCGGTGTCCAGGGGCCACGTATCGAAAGTAGCCTGGCGAGGGACCCAACCCGTAGCAACTTGATGTAACTTTGGTGGCGGGCCTTTATGCACGATCCGCGTGAGGGATGAGCCAAAATGGGTGGGGGGGGTGCATGCGAAGTTTCCCGCTGGGGCAGTGGGTGGACCTCCCCAAGGGGCACGAAACGTGTGAAGGCCACGCCGAAATGCACGGGGAAACTCGCGCAATCTTTCCCACTGAGGCCGTAGGGGGGACTCGTGAGAGGGATGTGCCAAAACGGGCAGAAGTACACGTGCAAACTGTCCCACCGAGGACTCAGGTGGAGCTCCCCAAGGGAGCGCGATCCTCGTGAGGGGTGCGCTGAAATGGGCGGCGCTGGCGCAGAGGCCCTGCCACTGGGGCCGTAGGTGGATCCCCGTGTAGGGCCGCGATCCTCGTGACGGGTGTGCCGAAGTCGACGGCGCTGACATGCGGGCCCTGCTTCTGGGGTCGCACGCGGAGTGCCCTCTGGGGCCGCGCTCCTCGTGAGGGGTGTGCCGGCTGTGGCGCCATGGGCTGGCGCCGTTTGAGACCGCAGGTGGGCCTTGGGATGATGCCGCAGGACCTTGGTGCGCCCGCTGAGACCGCAGGACTGTGTTTCTCGTAGGGTTGAGTCGGGTGTGTCCCTCTACAGGAGGAATATCCAGAAATGGTCAAACACTAGTCTGGAGATGATTTTTGGAATATGTCAGACAAGTGTGATGCTTGTCTAATTCTTTTGCCGAACATCCGCCTGCAGGAGGACATGCCCGACCTAATTGTAGGGCCGCGGAGCGTGCCAGGGGTGTGCCGAAATGGGGGTAGTGCGACCATGCGTCGGCGCCCGCTGAGCCCGCAGGTGGAGCGCATTTCGGGGCCACGAAAGGTTCGCGTGGCATCTTCGGGGGACCTCGCCCGTCCCCCAAATGGGTGTCTTCCTTCGTGCCCGAAGCGGGCTCGATCTGGGCTCCACGCGGATTGGGCTTGGGCGTAGATTCGGCGCGGATTCGACGCGGACTCGACACGGATCCGACGAGGCCGACATGGATTCGACACGGATCCGACGCGGACAGGGCCACGACGGGACAGACAAGGCCCCCCCGAGGATAGCACGGCACTCGGAGGTCTCCGCCCCCCTCCCCTCCAGAGGCACTGGGACCTCCAGGCGGGAAGGGCACCCCTCGTGATGAATGCGCTCCTCCTCCATCCTGGGAGTTCCCTGCCGTGCTCTGGAGGCCTGGGGGATGTCGCTTCGGCCTCCGGGCCCCTCTCCCCCTGCACCCCCCTCTTCCCTGGTATGCGAGGGGAGGGAGGTCGGACTCCTGCAGGAGGCTCCTACCCCGAGAACCCAGGGGGGCGCACTAGCCGCCGCCACCCTCCCCAACGAAGGGAGGCCCGGCCCTGAGCCCCAGGCAGCCCAACGCAAAGAACCGCGGGTGCGAGGGGAGGGGGGGGGAGGGGGGATCGGATGGGCAGTTATAGCGGGTGCCTCCTTGAGGAGGAGTTGCTGCGAAAGGCGGAAGTGATGAGCGAGGAGCTCACCAAGGATGCGATTGAGACCCAGTCTCTCAAGAAGCAGGCACAAACGGCGTTGGTCCAGGACTGCGGGCGCACACGGGGGCGGGGTGGGGTGGGGGGCGGGTGATGGGAGCTGCATCACAAGAGGATTCCAAGCCCCTCCCGGTTCCTCCTCATCCTCCTCCTGCTGGCCTCCTCCTCATCCTCCTCCTCCTCCTCCCCCTCCTCCTCCTCCTCTTCCTCCTCCTCCTCGCCCTCCTCCCCCTTCTCCTCCTCCTCCTCCTCCTCCTCCTCCTCCTCCTCCTCTTCCTCTGCCTTGTTTAGAGGGCCGCTGCCCTCGTGTGCGCCGACGGCAGGAGCTGCACGCGCGCCACGAGCTCATGGCCGAGCGGAGCCGGCGCCTGGCGGTGGCCATCAACGGGAAGGCCTTGAGAGGCGGCGAAGCGTCCTGGCTCCGCCTATAGCTGTGGAGGTCGATGAATGGAGAGGATCCACTCTGCCAGATAAATTCCAGATGTCTAAAAGGCGTTTCCAATATGTTTGAAACATGCTTGAAAACATGGCTGACACATGTTGAGAGCATGTTTTACACAGTTTTAACACATCTTTAATTCAATGATGGGATTGTTAGACTGTCCATAGTCATGGCATCCACAAGCCTATAGGCCCATCGCAGAATGTTCTGAGATCCCTTTGTGGCCTGGACATTTCTTGCTGGGACTGTCCTGTGTAAACACATCGGACTGATGTTCTGAGAACAGTGCTTTTTTCTTTCTCTGAACATTTTTGTGGGTTCTATACAGATTTCGCGATAGGCCTTTAGGAATGCCCGGACGGTCGGTCCCTGCTCATAGGTCGGCCACGGCAAGTGCTGCTGCAGCGGCGACTCGCTCTCTGCCGCGGCCGGCGACCTGAACTGCTCGTGGGTGACGCCGGCCGAGCTCGGGGACGTCACGGGACGCCCAGGGAGTGCCAAATGCCCCAGACCTCCCGGCGACTCGGAGAGATCGCGCAGAGGGGCTCCCGCCACTTTCCGGCGCCCAGGGGCCACTCCAGGGCACCGGGGCGAGCCAAGCGCGACGCGCGAGGAGGTCCGTTGCGCGCCAGGAGTGGCCCTGCGCCGGAGTGACCCTTGGCAGTGGCCCGCGGGCCTAGGCGTCCTGGATGGGGTCGTAGTCGATGGGATCGGGGGATCGCGCCGCGCCGCCGATGCATCGCCGATGCGGCTCGATGTGCAGCCCGATGTGCTTCGCGTCGACTTCGCCGACGCATCGCCGACGTGATCCTCCGACCCCATCTATTCCGACCCCAGCCATGAGGCCTCTGACGTTAAGTCGGGCCTGTCCCCCTACAGGGGGATTTTCGACGAAAAATTCATAATACCCCAGAAATAGTGCAATGTACCTATTTTGGGGATTATTTTTTCGAGTATTTTTTTACCTTGTTGGAGCACTTTTGGGGTATCTTTTATTTTCGTCGACAATCCCCCTGTAGGGGGACAGGCCCGACTTGACTCTGACGGGCCCCCTCGGCACCAGCTCGCGCGCTTAGATTTGGCCCCTGCGCGGCTATCTAGCTGGAGCCGCGCACCAGAGGCCACTTCTGCCCGGGGTCACGCCACCGGCCTCCCCTCCCCCCGGCAAGCGGAGGGGGGGAGCCCTCCCGGGCGTGGTGCCACGGGTCGGAGGGCACCACCTATATTCAGGAGGGAAAAAACACACAGACACCATTCATCGTCGATTCCCAAGAAGATATATGGGAACATATGGGAAGTGGGGGGGAAGACGAGAACCCCAAACATATGGGGAGAGATGGGGAATCTGTTTATTTGTGTGTATTTGTTTGTGTGTTCTGGGGCCCCTTTTTATATATATATATATATATATATATATATATACGCACACACCTGCACCGATCCTGGCCAGGCTGATCCTGGGCCCTGGGTCGTTGTGTATGTGCCTCTGCCCCAGGCGGGAGGGCGGAAGTCCACCGATCCTGGGCCCAGAGAGATCCTGGCCAGCAGGGTGGTGGCGAGGAGGAGGAGGAGGCAAGGAGGAGGCGAGGAGGAGGAGGAGGACGAGGAGGACGAGGAGGAGGAAAGGAGGAGGCAAGGAGGCGGACGAGGAGGAGGAGGACGGAGGACGAGGCGGACGAGGAGGAGGCGAGGACGAGGAGGACGAGGAGGCAAGGAGGAAACAAAAAGGAGGACGAGGAGGAGGAGGCGGAGGTGCCTCCCGAACGAAAAAGCGATCAACGTGTGGTCCACCAAAATAGGCACTTCCCGTGCACCGCGGGGGCCCCAAAAGGAGCCCCCTGGGGCCCAACAGTTGGGCACGAGCCGCGCACGTCTCTTCGCCCCCCCGTCCCTCGAACTAAACAACTGCACAGCCATCGGTCGTCGAAAGTAGGTATTTTGAATATGTTTTTTATTCCAGGGCGACGGTCGTCACCTGGGGGAGGGAGGGGGCCGATTACGTCACGTTTCGCGCTGGCGGCGACTGGGAATGCCCAGGGATGACCGGGGACGGGTAGCAGCAGCATGTAGGTTGCGATCTGCGCCACAGCACCTGTGTACGCCACAGTGCCTGCGTGCACCACAGAGCATGTGTACACCACTCCGCCTATACACCACAGCAGCCGCGTGCAACACAGCGCCAGTGTGCACCACAGTGCCTGCGTGTACCACAGCGCTTGTGTACACCACAACGCCGGCGTACACCACAGCAGCCGCGTGCAACACAGCACCAGTGTACACCACAGTGCCTGCGTGCACCGCAGCGCCTGCGTACACCACGGCGCCTGCGTGCACCACAGCAACCATGTGCAACAAGACACCATTGTTGCGTATAGCATGTAGAAAACATCTGTATGACAAAATGAAGCGCCTGTGGATTCCACAGAAAAAAACGTTTTAGATATGATTTGGAAAGGAATATCTGTGGAAAAAGGAGCGCCGCTGGAATATACGAGTCATCCAAATTCCTCCCGCATCATCCTAACTCCTCCCATCTGCGTCCAGAAGGCTCTCGCAGAATTTGCCGTCCGAGAACCAAGTGGACTGATTCAATACACCATTCTGCGGTGCACAAGGAGATGAGCACGTGCGCTGTAGCGCCGACCCGCACGACTGGGGGGAAAGGTGAGGGACGAAGAGGAGGAGGAGGAGGAGGAGGAGGAGGAGGAGGCGGAGGAGGAGGAGGAGGAGGAGAAGGGCAAGGCGGAGGAGAAGGAGGAAGAGGACGAACGTTGAGAGAGGAAGGAGGAAGGAGGGGAGCGGACGAGGAGGAGGAGGAGGAGGAGGACACCGACGGCGACGGCGGCGGCGACGACGACGGCCACGGCGACAGCGACGGCGACGACGGCAACCACGGCGATGACAGCGACGGCGACAACTGCGTCGACGACGACGACGACCACGGCGACGACAGCGACGGCAACAACTGCGACGACGACGACGACGACGATCACGTGGGTGACGACGACACGAGGGTGACGACGACGACGACGACGACGAGGGTAACGACGACCACGACGAGGGTGACGAGGACGACCATGACCACGGTCACGGGCACAGCGACGGCGACGACGACATCCGCGGTGACGACGACAGTGACGGCAACAACTGCGACGACCACGACGCCGACGACGACGACCAGGGGGACGGCGACGAGGAGGGTGACGACGAGGGCGACGACGACGACGACGACGACTACGACGACAACGAGGGTGAGAACGACAACGACGGTGACGACGACGACGAGGGTGACGACCTGCCCGAAGGGCGATGCCCGAGCGACACGCACCTGCTGGCGGCGACCTGGACTGCCGGCTATGGCGGGGACCAGGGGCTCCTGGCGCGCGGGTTGGACTCGTGCGCCGCGTCGGAGGCGGCCCCCCGTCGCTCGGGCGGGAGGGAGGAAAAGCAGGACGGGCCCTCATGCTGTTCGCGTGACCGCCTCTGCCCTGCCGCTGCTCTGGCTCGCAGGGCCCTTCGGCTACTTGGCGCGCTGGCTGCGGGCGCTCGCGCGCCCCCGCAACAAGGAGAGAGAACGCGCTCTCTCTCTCTCTCTCTCTCTCTCTTTTTTGTTCTCTCTCTCTCTCTCTCTCTCAGCACGGGCCCCCCTGATTGTGCTACGTGTCTCCCTCTGTATTCCATACAGCTGTTCCCGTACATCCCACAGGGAGGGAGGAAAAGCAGGATACTATCAAAACACTTGGCGAAACCGACGTTGGATAAAAACAGAAAAACGTGATTGTTCGGGTTTTTTGTTTCTCGCTCCAGAAGCTTTCTCCGAGTGTTCCGACGATCGCCGTGCAAGAAAAGAGCTCTACGAGGTTCCCGGCGGTAACCAGGTTGACGGTTGACGGGGCCTCATGCTGTTCGCGCGACCGCACCCCCCAGCCTGTCCCCGTCACCGCGGCTCGGGCCCGAGCCCCGCGGGCGCGACGGCTCCACCGGAGCTGCAGAGCCCGGCGACGGAGCAGAGGTCCAGCGCGGGAGGGCGAGGAGGAGGCGGAGGAGGAGGAGGCGGAGGAGAAACAGAAAGAGGAGGCGAGGAGGAGGAGGAGGCGAGGAGGAGGAGGAGGAGGAGGAGGCGGAGGTCCATCGCGGGAGGGCGAGGAGGAGGAGGAGGAGGCGGCGGAGGAGAGACAGAAAGAGGATTCTACGGTGGGGGGCGTTTGTTACGGAATGTGCCCAGAAGGTCTCGGACCCTGGAGGATCCTTCATACGATGGGGGCGGCCATGCATGGTATCCATGGCGAAGCTTCAGTTGGTGCTCCACTGGCTTCCAGACCCTGGGTTCTTTGTCTAGGGGTTCCTCATCCGATGCTTTCACCGTAGCGTACGCCAGGTGTGCGCCAGGTTGACGCGGCGGAGTCGTCGCCGCGACGTGAAACTGCCGTCGCCATGATGCCCCTGAGGCTGCGCGTGCAGACGTGGCCCTGCACGTTTGGGCAATGCTCTGAGCCCATATGTTCTTCAATGTGTGCTGTGGGAGGTTGGCAATCCACCTCTGGAGGTCAGGCTGGGGGCAAAGCGAGCACCGTCATGGTGGATGGTGACGTAGGCAAGCTGAGCAGGAGGAGGAAGAGGATCGATGAGGCTCCTGGATGTTATGCTTGCCTTTGTCCTAGCTCTCAGAGACGTCAGGAGGAGGAAAAGGATGGAGGAAGCATGAGGAATGAGGAGGGGCGTGCGCGTTGCGCCCTGCCGCGTTGCGCCCGAGTCCGGGGCCATTGCAGATTTTCGCCGCCCGTACGTCGGCCAAGCGGCCAGGACAGCAGATAATGCAATCGTGCCTCCTCTCCCCCTTTGTGTTTCCTCCTCATCCTCCTTCCTCCTCGCTCCGGCCGTGTTTCACGATTTCGGAGGCGGTGCGAGTTGCTCCCGTTGCTTGGGTCGGGGGCTCTGTGCCCGCAGGCCTGTGGAACCTCGAATCTGTATACTGTCGCCAGGGGCCCCCAAGACGAGGGCGAGGAAGACAGACAAGGAAGTGAGTGTCTTCCTCAATGACTTTGCCTCATGAATAACTTCTCTCTGTCGCACCCAGAGGCCAGTCGGAAGGGCGGGCTGGGCGTTTCGCTTGAGACGTCTCTATCACTCACGAGCGTGAAACCTACGAGCTGACAACAGCTTCACAGATGCAGGGAGGGTCGTTTCCCAAATGTGGCTCTCGCCTTAGCGCCGCGCGCATTCGCAAACCATTGCAAGAGCTTCACGGATGGAGGGCAGCTCGAGTTCAAAATTTGGTTCTCGCTTTGGCCCCGAGCACGTTCGTTTTAAAGAGCGCAAGCGTTTTACGTTCAGGAAAATGTGTTCGCCTCAGCGCCGCGCACATTCGTTAAATTTGCGATTACATTTTTGTTCCAACATTTGTTTCTCGCTTTATAGCGCAGCGCGCATTCGTTAAACAAATTGCAAGAGCGTCACGGATTGAGGGCCGTTCCTTGAAAATTGTGTTATCGCGTTAGTTCCGCGCATGTCTGTTTTTCAAAATCTACAAGAGCGTCAGTGGTTCGCATGTTCAACGTACAAGTACTTGTGATTTGGAACGGATCAGAATTGTCTGGGCGCAACAGTTCTTCAGGTTCGCTGTGTTGAAGTTCCAGCAACGGCGTCTTGGAACGATTCGGGATCGTCAGTACGCAACAGTCTGGCTGACGCGTGGAGTTAAAATCCTGAGAATGGTGTGATGGTGCGCTTCAAGGGTTTCACATGGTTGCCCCCCACGGGGCTCTTTCCGAAGAGGAATTGGATCTCTGTATGAGGCATGTGAAAGGGGGAGCTGGAAGGGAGGATGTATTCCAACATCGTTGTTGAGTCTTTGGCTTACGCTGGTCCTCCTCCTCCTCCTCCTCCTCCTCCTCTGCCTCCCCATCCTCTTCTTCCTGCCCCTCCTCTGTGCCCCAGCACTCCACCCAGCAAGACCCCCTCATTCCACTCACCTGTCGCGGACCTCCGGCGCCCAGGGCTGGAAGGACGCCGACAGCAGCATGAACCGCCCGCTCGCGGGCGTTTCGGCCGAGCTCCCCTGAGCTTCGGGGCAGCACGTCAAGGGGGGACAGGCTCAGCTCCCCAAGGTCGGCGGCGAGCCCGGGGGGCCCAGAAGACGCAGACATCTTTTCAAAAAGCGCAGGAAGGCTGCTCAGAAGTCCCGTCGCCTTCTGATAAGGCCAGCCCCTTCTCACTTCCCCACCGGGCGCGCCGCCGATGAGGGCTTGACCACTGTTCTCCAATCGACCTGCGGGGGTCAGGCCAGAGAAGTCAAAGGAAGTTCAGGGAGGTCGAGGTCAAAACTTTTTTCTCGTTGGCGGCGAGGCAGAAGAACTGCACCAGCGGAGAGCGATCGGGGCGACCGAAACGCAAATTGGCCGGCGCGCAAGAGGGAAGGGACATGACTGACAGGGCGGCCGCGGAGGACGTGGCGAGGAGGAGGGATCGAGGTCAAAACAGACGAGCCTAGGCAAACCTAGAGACCCCCGCGGAATGTCGAAGCAAACTGCGGACGCTCCTGCGCGAGTCGAGGGGCAGCAGAAGTGGTAAAGCAATTAAGGGTCAAGTATGAAGTCGGGCATGTCCCCCTACAGGAGAATATTCAACAGTAGTCAGAAAATAGTCAGGGGAAGGTTGTTCGACCTGCTTGATTATTTTCGAACATGCTCGATTGTTTGTTATATGCTGATTCCAAGGTCTGCCTATGGCAGGACATGCCCGACCTAAGTCGAGTGGGGAGACATCGACCCCCACCAGCCCATTCATCGCCGACACGGGGCCCGAGAGTCCCGCGCCGCCCAGGATCGTGCGGATGCGCGATCGGGGGCCTGTCGCCGATCTGCTGGCGATGCGTCGCTTATTCCAGGTCGACGTGCCCCCCAAAATGGTCGACTTGACGGATGGGCGAGCGACAGGTTGGGTGGGTTTGTTTTTCTTGAACGCCCCACGTTGCATCTCTCCGCTGCGCGTCCGGCTCCATCGTCGACGAAGCCCGCTCGATGCCGGACCGGGGGCAATTTGTTCCGAAGAGCCCTTTTTGGGGGGAGAGGCGAAACGCGTAGCCTTTGTTTCTTCTCCGTTGAGACTCGATCCAGCGTCGATTTTGCCTCGCTCCTCGATTTTGCATGCTTGCCAAGATGCCAGCGCAGCGCTGTGCACAGTACCGCGGGGAAACCAGGACCCCGCACGGGCCTTCGCTAGACCGAGCGTGTACAGCGCAGTCGAGATGTTCCTTTCAAAAGGCTTCGTTGTCTCGCATGCGAGTTCAAGGCTGACGTCTATTCGCTGGCGGGCGCTCGCGAAATTTATGGGGAGACTCGGTCCAAAGCAAGAGATGCCCACCCCTTTCACACGAGAAACAACATAATGGCACAAACATGAATTGTCGGAGGTCCGCGCGGATTTGCTTGGATCGGCGCTTAACCCCTCCCTGGCGCGCGGACCGCGCCAGGGGCGTCGCCAAAGGCGCTGCTGAAGGGACTCCAGTGTCGATTCAAGAAGTCCGTGTGGACCTCCGAGAGTGTATGTTCATGTCATGACCCTAGCTGTTCGACGATGTACCCACAGTGGAGCGCAACGATCCAGCTCTCGCGCAGAGGACCGCCAAAAACCGCCGAAGACCCTTGGGCAGAAAGGGGCCCAGTGTCGAACACGTAGATGATTTGCTCCCCCCATGAATCGCCGATGGGGGCCCGATAGCCCGCCCCGCCCAGGAGCGTGCGGAAACGCTATCGGCGGCATCGGTGGTGTACTGTCAAGTCCAGCTCCGTGATTCCCCCCCTGAGCCTGTCCCCCCCCCTGACGCCCCAACGGTCCCCTCGCGATTGTCTCGGCCGACCCGCGCCCCCCGGCGGCACTGGACGAGCGCCGCGGCCGCGCGCGAGGAGGAGGAGGAGGAGGAGGAGGAGGAGGAGGAAGAAGAGGAGGAGGAGGAGGAGGAGGAGGAGGAGGAGGAGGAGCAGGAGCAGGAGCAGGAGGAGGAGGAGGAGGCGGCGGAGGGGGAGGAGGAGGAGGAGGGAGGAGGAGGGAGGAGGAGGAGGAGGCGGAGGAGGAGGAGAAGGAGGATGAGCAGGTGGAGGTGGAGAGCTCGGTGGTTCAGCGGTGGGGGCCTGGGGGATGGGGTGCCGCGAGAACGAGGCGCCTCAGCCAATGTGTGCGCGCTGCCGTGCGTGTCTTGGAGGGGGCGCCTCGGCCACCAGGGTAGACGCCGCCTCGGACGCGGTGGGCTTGCCATGGTTTCTGCCGCGGTGCGGGCGCCGTCCTGTCTGGGCGCGTCGAGGGCAAACGGCGCGGCGACAGTTCGACCCCCAGGCGTCTGGACCCCTTCCCCCGGGAGCGGTTTGCCATCCCGCGTCGTTCTGTGACGCTCCCGAGGCCCGGCAAGGACCCCTCTGGAGGCTGAACACAGCGCACAAAAACCGCCCGTCGTGATTCTTCTTGTTCGCGCCATGAGGGGGTGTGGGCCCTTGGGCCCCCATCCCTCAAAGCCCCCTCCCCAAACTTAAGTCGGGCCTGTCCCTCTACGGGGGGGAGATTCTCACATAGTCAAAAAATAGTCTGGGGACGATCTTTTTATTATTTTTTGAGCATTTTGGGGCATTTTTTGAATATTTTCAATTTTTCGCCCAGAATCCCCCTTGACGGGGACACGCCCGACTCAACCCTAAACCGCCGACGGTCGTCGTGGCCGGCCCCGAGCGGCCCGCCCAGGCGCCGCCCCCCGCTGCCGCCGGCCGCCCCGCCGACCTTGGCTTCAGAGGGGCTTCGTCGTCGTCGTCGTCGTCGTCGTTGTCGTCGTCGTCGTCGTCGTCGTCGTCGTCGTCGTCGTCGTCGTCTTCGTACGACGACATCGACGACGACCTCCTCTCTCCTCGTCATACATCCCACGTGCGACTTGCCGGGACCAATCGTTCATCATTTCCCCCCCGGGACCTCGAACTCTATTATCCATTGGGGATTATTCTCGGGGGCGTTCGGTTATCGTTTCACTGGCCCCCATCCCCATGCCCATCCCCATCCCTATCGACTACACGTACGATTGATCTTTGCCGGAGTGACCTGGTACTTGCCCAATGTGGCCTCCCGATCGCTGAATGCCGTGCTATAGAGCAGCGGCTTGCGCGCCTGGCGGTGTCCCCAAATGGTCAGTCTTGCCCATGGTCGCTCTTGCCCAGGGTCTGTGTTGCCTATAACCGACCCTATCCTGAAGTCGGGCGTGTCCCTCTGCAGGGGGAATATTCAAAAATAGGCAAAACAAATGCAAAAAAATATCCTGGGGACGATTTGTGTACCATCTTTGAGTATTTTGGGGGCATTTTTGTGCATGTTTAAATGTTTCGCCCAAAATCCCCCTGTAGGGGGACATGCCCGACGTAACCCTATCCAGACCCCCCCTATCTCCGCACCCCTGTTGGGGACGTGCCGCTCGAGGCCCGCAGGACGCGGCCCGTGTCCCCATCTGCGGGGGTCAAGAGCGGCCAGTGGGGCACAGGCCACGCCCACTTTCGGTCCGAGGCGCAGGAAGGAGGAGGGAGGGGGGAGGAGGGGGAGGGAGGAGGGAGGAGGGGAGGAGGGGAGGAGGGGAGGAGGGGAGGAGTATGATACGTTCCAAGATGTCCAGCGCTTCCACGGGATTCTCGGCAGCTCCTGGTGCTCCGCACCGGCTGCGCCGCCAGATGCTCTGGATAGCCTGGACCGTACCCTGAGCCAATCTCATCACGACATCGCCCTCACCCGATTCAGAGGGGGAGGAGGAGGAGGAGGAGGAGGAGGAGGAGGAGGAGGAGGAGGAGGAGGAGGAAAGGAGGAGGAGGAGGAGGAGGAGGAGGAGGAGGAGGTACCGACACCGCTGCTCGACCTGGAGATCTCTCGTCGCAGTGGCTGGATTCTCTTCGGCATGCTGCTCAGAACGCGCCCTGGGAGAGGTCCGAGGAGGAATGGAATCGGTACCCTTTGGTTCCACCATATTTGCCCTGCTACGCCCGTGTTGACACGCAACACGTGCCGTGTTCAAAGTGTCAACGTTGACTCAGGAGGGAAAAAACACAGACACAATTAACCGTCGATTCCCAAGAACATTCGTGGGAAAATATTGGAAATGGGGGGGAAGACTAACACCCAGAAAATTTAGGAGAATATGGGGAATCCAGTTATTTGTGTATATTTATTAGTGTGTCCCATGGGCGCCTTCAGTTACGGATTGCATGTTGCGTATCGGGGCGGCTAAGCCTCCGACCTGCGCCGTGGCGTCGATGATCTACAGGATGTGTCTGTTGGCGCCAAGCGCGCTCCGAGGATCATCGACGGCGGCGGCGCGGCCAGGTGCCCGATGCCCGGAACTAAAAGCATCGAGGCGGAGGGTGTTCGTCGCCTTCGGCCTCTTGTCTGGGCCTCCTAGAGGAGGCCCGAGTAGATGGGGTCGAAGGATCGCCCCGCATCGCCGATCCGATGCGGCTCGATGAGGGGCCCGCTTCGTTTCATGTCGGCGTCGCCTGTGAGTCGCAGACGTCGGCGATGCATCGCCGGTGCATCGCCAATACATCGCCGGTGCATCGGCGATGCGGCGCGATCCTCCGACCCCATTTTCTCCGGCCCCATCCAGGAGGCCTCTATCTGGGGGTCCTCGCCGGGCCCCGGGACGATCAATAGGAGCTGCTCGGACTTCCAGGGAGGGCCCGCACCGAAACGGTCCAGAAATCGGGCAGTCTGGGAGGCTGGGTGCCGCCCGCTGGCGGTGCAGCCGCCCGTCGTGCTCGCGATCGCTGCCGCGCCCGCTCGCTGATGCCGCCGCGCGGTGGCGGGGTGCCTCCTCCTCATCCTCCTCCTTTTCCTCGTCCTCCTCCTCCTCCTCCACCTCCTCCTCCTCCTTCCTCCTCCTCCTCCTCCTCCTCCTCCTCCTCCTCCCTCTCTTACCTATGGTAATGGTGGTGGACACTCGGTACGTTTTGCAGGGCTGGGCAGCGCTCAGGCGCGCAGGTGGGCCGAGACGGGCGGCGGCCCACGAGGCGGGGTAACCCTGGGGCCCCTGCAGGTCCTCCCGCCCTCCGCCCCCTCCTCCCCCTCCTCCTCACCTCCTCCTCGTCCTCCTCCTCCTCCTCCTCCTGCTCCTCCTCCTCCTAATCCTCCTAATCTTCTTCCTCCTCATCCTGCTCCTCCGCCTCCTCCTCCTCCTCCTCCTCCTCTTTCTCCTCCTCTTCCTCACCATCCTCCTTCTCCTGCTCCTCTCCTCCTCCTCCTACTCCTTCTTCTGCTCCTCATCCTCCTGCTCATCCTCCTCCTCCTCCTCCTTCCTCCTCCTCCTCTCTTCTCATCCTCCTCCGCCTCCTGCTCCTCCTGCTCCTCCTTTTTCTCGTCCTCCTCCTCTCTGAATCCTCCTCATCCTCCTCCTCCTCCTCTTCCAAATCTTATTTTTCCTCCTCGTGCTCCTCCTGCTCCTCCTCCTCCTCCTCCTCCTCCTCCTCCTCCTCTTCCTAATCCGCCTCCTCCTCCTCCTCCTGCTCCTTCTGCTCCTCCTTTTCCTCCTTCTCCTCTTCCTAATCCTCCTTCTCGTCCTCCTCCTCATCCTCCTCCTCCTCCTCCTCCTCCCTCCCTTGGGGGAGGCTTGTTCGGAAGCCTCCGAGATCGTGTCTGAGGCCCCCCGCCTGCCCTCTGCGCAGCCCGCTCCCCTCTTTGGCCCCACGCCTCAACATAGACTTGGTGGGTGCACCCCGCCAGTCTTAAGTCGGGCCTGTCCCTCTACATGAGGAATATTGAAAAATAGGACAAAAACAGGGGACAATGTTCTGAGTATGTTCGAGCACTTGAGGGTTTTTTGAGGGTATTTTTAATCGTTTGTCCAATATCCCCCTGTAGGAGGACATGCCCGACCTAACCCCAGGCTGATCTGGGCCCTGCTGGGCCCCCATCTCGGGGCAGCAGGCACCGTACCATATGTGCGTGTCGTGGGCGTTGTGGCTGCAGTCATCTTGGCTTACCACAGGACTGCAGGCACTGCGTCAACTGCAACACTCAGTGCGTGGTTTCTCTCGCCCCGCATGTTGCACTCTGGGACCCGGCTGACCAGCGCGGGGGAGGAAAAGGCAGCCACAGACGGCTGCATAGCAAAACAAAATTCGTGCCGGGCCCAGAAGTGACCAGCGGGAGGGAAACGGAAGGTCACAATGGAGCCACCCCTCCGGACTGCGGGTACCCCCCCCGGACTACAGGTACCCCTCCGAAGCTGTAGTTGCCCCCCGAGGCTTCAGCAATCTCCGAGTTCGCTATCCCCTCCGAGCCGAAGCGGCCCGCCTGGAATGTCTCTGCCCACTGCCACCCATGTATTATACGCAGTTCGCCCATGTTGGGTCAGCGCTCGAAGCGGAGCACTCGCGAGGGACGAATGGAGACGGAGAGAGGAAGAGGACGAGAAAAGGATAGAGAAGCAGTCAGAGCCAGACAACAAAGGAGGTATGGATGGAAAGAGAGAGAGAGAGGGAGAGAGACTGACTGACTGACTGACTGACTGACTGATTGACTGACTGATTGACTGACTAACTGACTGAATGACTGACTGACCCACCCAGACTACAGGTACCCCCCTTGGGCTACAGATACCCTTCCCCCGGACTACAGGTTCCCCACCCCGGACTACAGGTACCCCATTCCAGAAGGAGGGGACCTTCTCCGGACCACAGGCACCCCTAGATATCTTGAGGGACAGACTACGGGCTGGGAAGACGGGGGCCGACTCGGTCTCCTCCTCCTCCTCCTCCTCCTCCTCCTCCTCCTCCTCCCTCCCCACTCCGCCCTTCTTTTCCCTCCTCCCTCTCTTCTCTGTCCCCTGCCCCCTCCTCCCCTCTCGACGACGCAAACGACGCCGGCGGCGGCGGCGACGACCCCTGCCACCCGCCGTGCGGGGCGCCCGGAGGATGGGCAGCACCAGCTTCGTGCTACGAAGCCCCTGGGTGCCGGAGGACGACGCGGCGGCGGAGGCGGCCGCCGCCGCCCGGGCCGGCGGCGGCGCCGGAGGTGAGGAGGAGGAGGAGGAGGAGGAGGAAGAGGAGGAGGAGGAGGAGGAGAAGAGGAGGAGGAGGAGGAGGAGGAGGAAGAGGAGAGGAGGAGAGGAGGAGGGGGAGGAGGAGGAGAGAGGAGGGAGGAGGAGGAGGAGGAGGAGGAGGAGGAGGAGGAGGTCAGTAGCCAATTTGGCTCAGGCCATTCTGGTTCAAGTGGTCATATCGGGACATCCCCCGTCTCGAGGTGGTCAAGGACGACCAGCCTTCGAGGAGTCCCAAGAAGCCTCGGACAGGACTCCTTTCCCTAACCTGACCGCAGCGGATCTGCAGCATATACGCATTTCGGCGACCGTGCTTGTGTATCGTCTCTCTGCTGACATCCGATTTGTTCGATGGCGAATGTGCACCCCCGTGCAGCGGCCATGGGTACCTCTCAGGACGCTCGTGCTGCAGCTGCTGCAGCCGCCCTCGCCGCTCTCGACGCCGAGCTCGACCTCATGCCAACGTTCCCGTCCCAGGAGCGCCGCGAAGTGGCGCCGCCCTTGGCAGCGCCCCCTCCCGGTCATCTTACTGACGGTCCAGCTCGTGAGCCACTCCAGAAGCGTGTGGTCTTGGGATCTACCCGTTCTGGAGGCGCCTCTTCTGCCGCAGCCTGCGCTGCAGGCGGAGTGCCCTCTGCAGGGGCAGGCCGACGTCAAGCCCCATCTCGCGGTCCAGCGCAGGGGAGTGCTGGTGCAGGCGAGGCCGACGGGTTTGCTATTATTCATGATGACAGTGACATTCACGAGTACGTGGACACCGCAAAAAGGTCAATTGCTTAATGCGATCAACGCCATCCAGACCTCCGTCTCCCAGCTGGCACCCACCGTCCAGACGATCTGCTCGAACTTGGGGAAGCAGGTGGAGACCAGGATGTCGCGTTGAAGCCACTCAATCTCAACAAGCTGCTCTCATTCAAGCTTTGGACGCCAAGATGTCGGCCATGCTGACCGAGCTTGGCATCATGCGCTCTGAGGCCCCGACGAAGATCGAGGTCAACACGTCCTTCCAGTGAGACATCGGCCCGACGATCATCGGTCGCGAAGGAGAGTTTTTGCCAACGGCCTGCAAGAGTGGCTGCTCGCCGCCAACTGCGCCGCCGACGACTCCGACATCGTCTCTGAGCCGAGCTCGAAAAAGTTCATCTTGCAGTTCCAAGGCGCTCCTGGCTACGCCGCTCGGAAGGTTAACCAGTGCCTCGCCCAGCTCAAGATCGGCCCCGACGACTGGAGGCGCTTCTCTGCTCGGGACGCCTTCACAAATGCCGTCGAGCTGCACGTCTCCAGCGACAAACCTCTGTACCAAGTCAAGACCGAACTCTTGCTCAAGCAGCTGCGCAGGACCATCAACGACCTCCACCCTCGCGCGGAGCTCTTCGCCAAGAAAGCGAGGGGCGAGCTCTCGGACAAGTGGAAGCCTCTGCTGCGCGTCATCCCGAGTGCGACTGCGGACCACAAGGTGGAGCGGGCCCATGCCTACCTGGCTTAGCTGCGGACGGATGAGAACCTCATCGCCGGCCGCATCAAGCCCATCCTTGCGGACTCGCAGGAAGTCGAGTGGAGTCTTTGACAATTTCTTCAGGCAGAGGAAAGGATCACTGCCTTCTGGGTCGGCATTGACGCGCACCACGTGGAATGCCAGAACATTTTTTCACCGCAGCTCGCGCGTGAGGGACCGCAAGCTGGGCTCCCTGTCAAAGTTGCCGTCTCCCTACTCGATCGTGGCTCTCCAGGAATCGCATGGAGATGAGATTCGCGTTGAAGACTACCTCTATCACATTCACCGTCCAGACCTGGCCAGAGCATCGTTTTGCCCTTCGGTCCCTGGACACCCAGCCGGTGGATTCATCAAGTTCTATTCCATTTTCCAGGCCCTTCACCATCTTCATCCCCCTTGTGTCTCTGAAGAAGCACTGGTAGAAGGTCGGGTTATCCGTGTGCAGTTTTGTTTTCAGGAGAACGTCTCCCTGGCCCACTACAATATCCATAACCGTGGGCTTTCTGTGGGGGCTCGGGATCGGGTTCTCAGAAGCAGCAAGCGCGATCTCCAGACAGCCGAACATGACCCTCTTCGCAAGCAAGTGGTTGTGCACGGGGACTTCAACATAGCGAGTAGCCCGCCTGTCCTTTCGAGCCGCTTTGTCTCGACCGCCGAGCCCGAGGGCCCCCGAGCGCCCCGGTCCTGGGTCCCAAGGCAGCCCCTTCAGATCCTCGACGGACTTCTAGCAGTGCTTGGGAGACTGCGTTGAAGTCCATAGTAGAGCTCGAGGGCGACGATCCCGCGCACTTCGATGCCCCTCTGCAGACGCTCTCGCGCATCGATCGTGCTTTTGCGTCGCGGCCAGGGTGGGGCCTAACGCAGTTATCCTCGGTCACGCGCGCGCGCGGCCTCCCCGAAGTACATCGGCAGACGCAGCCATCCGACCACTCCGCTTGGATGATCTCCATCTCTCCCCGGCGCCCCTTATCCTCCAGATGATAGGCCGGTGCGCGCTGACCTTTTCAGCGCGCCAGAATGCGCCGACTTCATCAAGCGGACTATGGCCCAGCTTTCCTGTGAGGACTTGTCCGCGCCGCAGCTTCTCGATTCCCATGAGCTGGCGATGATAGCAGCAGCTAGATACGCTCGAGACTCGATCGTGATCAAGAGGCCCCTGGAGCCCCTCGCGACGCACAATGCGCGCCGCTCGGTCGCTAGAGCTATCTGGAGGCAAGATCGAGCCCCCGCTGAGAGACTCGTTTCGGCTCGCTCGATCGCTCGTGAACATCTCGTGTTGCAGCCTTTCACCGCCGCAGTCGAGCTGCAGCATCTGGTTCGGCTCACTCAGCTGACGAATGATATCCACTTGCGCGTGATAGGGGGCGCCCAGAAGCGGACCGCGCAGCAGATGGGCGAGGGTGCCCCAGCCCGCGCGAGAGCCAAGGTAGCGAGGAAGCTTAAAGGTCTGGGAGCGCCGCGGGAAACTCCGGCTGCCCCATGGGCGGAAATTAGACCTTGCTGGCCCTGCTCTCCCCGACGGGGCCGCCACCCGCAATTCTTTTGATGCTGGCAGGTCTGGCCTCGCACTGGGGGGGGGGGACCTTGCGACCCCCCAATGCGAGGCCAGACGGCGCGCCACTCGCTTCGGCGCGGCGCACCCCTCCGCCCCGACCCTTTTTCTATTCCGGCACGGCGCACCTCCTCCGCACCCCTCCCCCACCCGCCAGCCAGCGCGCCCCTTCGCCCCGATCCATTCATGTCGGCACGGCGCACCCAGCCGCCCCGACCCTGTCATTTCGGCACGGCCCGCCCCTCCGCACCCCCCCCCCGCCCGCCAGCCAGCGCGCCCCTCCGCCCCGACCCTTTTGTTTCGGCAGCCCCCCCCCCCCGCCCCCCCCTACTTGCCAGTCAGCGCGCCTCCTCCGCCCCGCGACCCCTTTATTTCGGCGCGGCCCCCACTCCCTCCCCGCCCGCCCCGCGCGCCCCTTCCGCACCCCCCCTCGCCCACCAGCCAGCGCGCCTTTCCGCCCCGACCCCTCTATTACGCCCCCCCCCCCCCACCCACTCACAAGCCAGCGCGCCCCTCCGCCCCGACCCATTTTTGCATTCCGGCACGGCCACCCCTCCGACCCGACTGCTTTACTTTGGCGCGGCACCGCCCCCTCCGCGCCCCTCCGCACGCGCCCCCCCGCACGCCCCCCACCCTTCAGCCAGCGCGCCCCCTCCGCCCCGACCCCTTTGTTTTGGCGCGGCACCGCCCCTTCCGCCCTGACCCATACATCTCGGCACGGCCGCCGCCCCCCACCCCGAGCGCCCCCTCCACATCCCCCCACCACCAGCCAACGCGCCCCTTCCGCCCCGACACCCCCATCCCGAGCGCCCCCTCCATCACCCCATTCACCAGCCAGCGCGCCCCCTCTGCCCCCTCCCCTTTCCTTTCTGTGCAAGAGCCATGGCGCGCGTGCCAATTGTTTGTTGAGGAAACAGGAAGCCGCCTGCCGGAAACCGCTGCTGCGGCGTGGCGTCTGCCGCGGGGAAGGTGCGGAGAGTGGGCGTTCGATTTTCGAGGGCGGGGTATCGAGGACGGAGGCTCGACGGTCGAGGTTTTTGGAGGCCGCGGATCGACTGCAAACTTGGCTTTCGCCGCGGATTTGATTTGCTCACCGAGTTCAAAAACATATCCTCGATGTTTGAGCCTCTGGGTGGCCTCTTCGTCGCCGCGGCCGCATCCGCCTCGACGTTCTGGCCTACGGGCCCCAGGTTTTGGAAAGGGCCCCGTGGATCCGCCCCGGCGCCCTTGCACAACGCCGACACTTGTGATCTTGGCGTTGCATTTTTGTTCGCAACGGGCGTTCTCACGCAAGTCTAGACGCTTCGCGTAAACCCACCAGCCCAGGAATTGCTTCGATCAGGGAAGTGGGCAGCGCACAGAGGAAAGGTCCCCCAGTGGATGCCTCTTGGACCGTTTTGGGGGCCTCTTGGCGGTCCCAGACGCCTCTTAAAGCGTCTTGGGTGCCCCGTAGAGCTTCTTGGGGCCTCTTGGGGGTCTCTTGGGAGTTTCTTGGGGGCCTCTTGGGCGCCTGTTGCGGCCTCCTGGGGCCTCTTGGGGCCCTCTTGAAGCGCTCTTGGGAATCTTGGGGGCGCTCTTGGGGCCATTGTGGAGGACATTGATCAAACAAGAGGGCCAGCGTTGCCCATCGGGAGCCCAGAACGTCACCGCTTGGGGCGCTCTTGGAGCGCTCCGGGGCGTTTTGGGGGTCGTCTTGGGGCTCTCTTGACCCTCTCCTGGAGCCCTTTCTGGGCCATCTTGAAGGCATCGTGGAGCCTCGGATGGTCATCGGAAGCGAGAAGGCGAGAAAACCAATCACATCGATTTTCCTAAAGTTCTGGATGGATTTTTGCCTCTTCGGGGCCTCCTGGGGGAGCTCTTTGGCCACTTGGAGCCGTTTTGAAGCGGTATTGGGGCCTCTTGGAGCATCGTGGGGGCCATCTTGCGGCATCTTGAGATATCTTGAGCCATCTTGGAGGTCATCTTGGGTTCGCCCAGGCGCTCTTGGAGTCATCTTAATCAGTGCGGCCCCCCCAGGAGGCCAAAATGTAACCAAAACCTTAGTCACTTCAATGCTTCTGGCATTCTCGCCAAGGCCTCCGGGAGCGTCTTGGGTGCCTCTGGGGGGCCTCTTGGGGCCTCTTGGGTGTCCCTTGGGGGCCTCTTGGGGGCATCCTGGTGGCCTCGTGAGGCCTCCTGGCCACCACTTGGGGCCCTCTTGACGGGCTGGTGGGATTTCGGGTCCCAGGACCCTGACATATCGATCCGGCTTGAAAAATTATGCAGGAAGATGGGGTCCAGGGCGCTGGTTGTGATTCTTGGCCATACTACAGTTTTGTTGCAAAGTCGGATCTCATGGACGGGCGGTTTGTCCGTCACTTTCACCCTCCCCCTCAGAAATCGTGGGGGGTAGGGGTAGGGTTCGCATGTGGCCCCCTACAGATCTCCCGGGATGCCCAGACCCCCTCGCGCCGTGAGAAACGCACATGACGGGAAGTTCTGAATTGATTTCGGCCTCGGGAGTCCCCCTCACCGCGCCCTGGGGCCCTCAACAAAGCGATTCAGGATGACAGTTGCCGGTCTTGGGGAAGGAGTCCAGACCTCTGGGGGTCGGCTTGGGTATGGGTATGCCGCCGCGCCGCTTGTCCTCGACGCTCCCAATGAAGTTGACAGCGCCGACGCCTCATGGCCGTGATGGTGCCCGTGCCCGCTGCCCTGGCCTCGTCCTCCCCCCCTCCTCGGGCCTCCTGGGAGGAAGGATTGCAAAAAACCGAAGGATTGCAAAAAACCCTTCGGGTGATTGCAAAAAACCGAAGGGTTTTTTGCAATCCTTCGGGTTTTTTGCAATCCTCCGAAGGTTTTTTGCAATCCTACGAGGGTTTTTTGCAATCCTTCGTTTTTGCAATCCTTCGGTTTTTTGCAATCCTTCGCCACGGCCCGCCTCGCCCCGAAACAAAAACGAGGCCAGAGTGCACCCCGCGAGGCCCGGGGGCCCGACCGCTGCCACAAAAAGAGAGGCAGCACGGCTGCTACAAAGTCACGACCAGCGCGCTGGGCCCCCCCTGCTCCTGCGCCGTTTTTTGCGCGCTGGGCCCAGGACGAAACACGGCCCCCTTCGGGAACGGCCCGGACCTCTCTCGGGGCCGCGGGTAGAAGGCACATGCGGGCGGATGCCGGGGCCCAGACTTCCCGCCCCTCGCCCCCATCCCTGGGACAAGCTTCGCGCCCTGAGCCCCTGGAAGTGACGGACGAAACGCCCGTCCCTGAGATCCGACTTTGCAAAAAGTTGCAGCATGGCCAAGAATCACGACCAGTGCCCCGGACCCCATCTTCCTGCGTCATTTTTCGAGCCGGATCCATCTGTGAGGGTCCCGTGGCCCGAAATTGAGCGAAAACGCCCGCTGCGAAAGAACTGCAACGCCAGGATCTCAGGGGAGGTCCCGGGAGTCGCGGTCTCGGTACCTCTCGGTTGTCCTTGCTCCGCCCGCGCGCGCTGCGCGCACGAGCGCGGGCCGCGCGTTCGCGCAGGAGGCCGCGGCAGAGGAGGCCGCCAAGCTGCGCAAGGAGCGGGGCGATCTTGGGGGGCGCGGCGGCGCTCCAGCTTTCCACCGAGGAGGAGGAGGAGGAGGAGGAGGAGGAGGAGGAGGAAGAGGAGGAGGAGGAGAGGAAGGAGGAGGAGGAGGAGAGGAGGAGGAGGAGGGAGGAGGGGGAGCAGGAGGAGGAGGAGGAGGAGGAGGAGGAGGAGCAGGAGGAGGAGGAGGAGGAGGAGGAGGAGGAAGACAAGGAGTAGGAGGAGGAGGAGGAGGAGGAGGAGGAGGAGGAGGAGAAGGAGGAGCAGGAGGAGGACGAGGAAGAGGAGGAGGAGGAGGAGGAGGAGGAGGAGGAGGAGGAGGAAGGTGGAGGAGGAGGAGGTGGCAGGGTGGGGCAGGGGGAGCACGCGGAGGGTGCCAGCTGTCTGCTTCCCGGCGCCGCAGCTCCGCAGCTCTGCAGCTCGCCACGCTTCCAGCCTTCGAGCTCCCATTGCTCCACTCAGGAGGGAAGAAACACACACAGCCACAGTTCATCGCCGATTTTCAGGAAAATGTGCAGAAAGATGGGAAGTGGGGGGGAAGACAAAAACATCAAACATATGGGAAAATATGGGGAATCTGTTTTTTTTGTGTGTACTTATTTGTGTGTCCTGGGGCCCCTTCATCCACCCTTCCCGCGCTCAAGCTTTCCAGCTGTCTGCGGTGCAGCCTTCAGCTCTCTGTCTTTCTGGCCGTCCGAGTTTTCCAGTCTGCCTTTTTTTGTCAGGCTTCAGGGCTCTCCGGCTTTCCACTATCGGGCTGGCTTCGACAGAAGACCTGCGCCCGGGCCTTGCTTTGACGGTCGGGTGCCGTTGCTGGAAGCCCCCCGTGGAGCCGTGGGGATCCGCCTTTGCCATGGGCGGCAGGAGGAGGGAGGAGCCAACGCAGCAGGCGGAGAAGGGAGGTGGGGCGCGGTGGAGCAGGCATCGGGCACCAGGGACCAGAGCGCGAGAAGGTCGACGAGCGAGTAGCGAAGGCAAATATGAAGGGGCCCCAGGACACACAAATAAATACACACAAATAGACATACTCCCCATATTTTCCCATGTTTTTTGTTTTTTCCTCCCCCCCACTTCCCATATTTTTGCATATTTCCCTCCGAATCGGCGATTAATTGTGTCTGTGTGTTTTTTCCCTCCTGAACATAGAGACCCCAGAGCGCGAACAGCGAGGCGAATAGGAGCGAGAGGCCAGAGCGCCAAGGGGCAAAACGCGCGAGGCCAGAGCCCGAATACTGGAGCGAGGAGCGAACAGCGAGGCGCATCGGAGCGAGAGGTCAGAGCGCGAGGAGCGAGGAGCGAGTGGCGATTGAGAGGAGGAGGGCAGGGACGGGGCGGGCAGGGCGGGAAAGTCAATGCACTCCTTCCGCACCACTTTCCTGATGCCCGTCCTGCTCTCTAGCCTTGCTTGCACTGTCTGCTGCTCTTCTTCACTTGGATGTTTTACCTAAAACTGCTTGGCTCTAGGGAAACAGAAGAGGAGCGAGCCATCATATCATCGGCGAAGCCCACTGACCATGAGACATCAATGGAACACCTTGCAGGGATTATGAATATTCAGGCAAAAGACTGGGAGGGGTGGGACGGGGGGGTTGGCGGAAAGGGTGGAGGAAGGGGAGGTCAGGCCGCGCAGGAGGGGGAGGATATGGAGCATGGGTGGAGGAGGGAGGGTGTGAGGGGAATGGGGGGGAGGGAAGGGGGGGGGAGGGGCTAGAAGGTACTTCTGAGCTTCGCTGGCTGAATACACCTGCGCGCTCATGAAACCATCGATGAAGGGGGGAGGGGGAGCAAGGTAAGAGTAGTGGGGAGGAGAAGGTGGGGGCATGTGAGGCGGGTAGTGGGGTGGCTGGGTGAACGAGGGGGGGGGGAAGCGGGACGGATGAAGAGGGCGTTTCTTTCCTCACTTGATGCTTCTCTGCGTCCTATTGGCCCGCCTCATGGTCCTGAGGATTGCGGCTTCCAGCAGCCACTCAGCTCAACGGGGGCTGTTCTTTTTACATCATCTGGCCTTCCACTGAGGCATTTGTTCTGCCATTCAAGATCATCCAGTTTGAACTGCCCGACATCTACACGTACGGGTGGTGGCTTCTATAGAAAACGTTCTGGCGCCAGCACCGTGAGCATGTGTCTTAAAGTTGGTGCCAGATATTTTGATGGAGGGCGGATCCTCCTCAAGTTGGTTGTGTTCTCTGACGTGATGCGGCTGAGTTCGACTACAGTTGGCACGCCGAATGTGACACTAGCCTGCCACCGGGTGCCCAACCATCGTTTCCTATCCGCGCTGGGCCCGCCGATCCTTGCGGCGCCTTGCGAAGCTCGGAGTCGACGCAGGACGCGCCCCTAGATCCCGTGTGGTCAGAGTTCTGCCCGTGCGTGCCTGCTGTGCGTGGGCGCTGGCCGAATTACCAGGCAAGCTCCACAGTACTGGGGATGCTGCAGTCGGCGTGTTGGGAGGCTGCGCCGACGACGGCCCGTTTGAGGGTCCCGCTGCGGCTGGAGAGGCTCGTGGACCCTGCGCTTCCCCCCCTCTGCGAGCGCTGCCGGCGTCGAAGATTTCTCGCCCGCGGTCACGCACCAGAGCCTTGAGACGGGAAGGTGCCTTGCAGCATCAGTGGTGTGTGCCGTGTTCTCTCCGGCCCTTCTCGTTCAGGTACGTGCACTCCCCTCCACCTCCTCCTCCTCCTCTTCTTCCTCCTCCTCCCCCCGACGGAGGGGTAAGTGCTGCTGACGCGTCGCCCACGCTGTGCCATCGTGTTGCCCCGTCGAGCCCTCCCAGCTGCCGCCGCCCTCGATATCCCGATCAACTTGTCTGCTCCGTCAGGCCATGCTCCACCCCTCCGGGTGAAGGGCGTACCTCAGTGCTCGAGCTGAACGCTGTCCTGGCGAGCCCGTGGACCGTTCTCGTTTCGAGGTCGTTCCGCAGCACGGGCAGAACGAAGACAGAATGAAGGAAACCAAACAATCGAACATGACGTCGAAAAACACTGTTTAGTTCGAGCCATGGCTCGAGCAGTGGCGAAACGTTCCGGCTCGCTTATACGCCCACCGAAAAATATAAGAACCCTTTGTGGGACTGTCTTGTTTTAGTACATGGGCTCACGTTCTAAGAACACTGTTGCGTTATTCGAACATGTCTTGCGTCTGAGAACATGTCGTGGTAGGCCTATCAGAAAGTCGGGACGGTCGGTCCCTGCTCAAATGGCGCACCTGGCGCGGGGAGGGGGCGACACGCGCCTCTGCCGCCTCGAGGCTCCCAGGGCGCCCCCGCCCCGCGCCGTCGGCCCGCCGTCGCGCGCGAAGCTCGAGCCCGCGGCGCCCGCCCCGTCGCGGGCCGCCCCGTCGCGGGCCGCGCCGCCGGCGCCCACCGCGCCGGCGGCGCCGCGCGGCCGTCGGCGCCCGCGGCAGCGGCGCCCGCGGCCGGCGGCGCCCGCGGCGGCGGCGCCCGCGGCGGCGCCGATGGCGCCCGCGCCGATGGCGCCCGCGCCGATGGCGGCCGCACCGCAAGCGCCCGCGTCGCCGGCGCCCGCGCCGCCAGCGCCCGCGCGCGCGCGCGCGAGGCTCAGAGGAGGGCCGTTCCCAGACCCCCTCGAGCAGTGCAAAAAATCGCGACGGACAGTTTCTCGCTATTTTTGGCTTCCGGGCGCTCTTGCCGGGCGTCGGCACCGTCAAAAGGCGGCTCAGGATGAAAAGCCGGTCCCAGGGAAGGGGCCGAGCTCTCTGCAAAGGGGGTCGACGCTGGTGCAAGAGTCCTGATGTCGGGGTCTCTGGGTTTGAGACCACTGGCAGCTGGCCTTCGGGGAGAGCCCCCTCGTCGCCACGGCCGGCCGAAGCGCGGAACGCGAGTGCGTTGGGACCCCGGGAGGGGGGAGGCGGAGGAGGAGAAGGAGGAGGAGGGGGAGGAGGAGGAGAGGAGGAGGAGGAGGAGGAGGAGGAGGAGGAGTAGGAGGAGGAGGAGGAGGAGGATGAAGAGGAAGAGGAGGAGGAGGAGGAGGAGGAATAGGAGGAAGAGGAGGAGGAGGAGGAGGAGGAGGAGGAATAGGAGGAAGAGGAGGAGGCGGAGGAGGAGGAGGGAGGAGGAGGAGGAGGGGAATAGGGGTAGGAGGAGGAGGAGGAGGAGGAGGAGGAGGAGGAGGAGGAGGAGGAGGGAGGAGGAGGAGGAGGAGGAGCCCGGGGTCTCGCGCGCGCCCTGCCTCGCGAGAGGCCGCGCCGCGCCCCGCGGCGCGCCGCGCCCCGCGGGGGCCTGCTCCTCGGGGCTGGCGCCGCGTGCCTGCGCGGGCGCGCGCCGCCGTGCAGCCTCCGGCCGGGGCCGCCGCCGCCGGCGCGCCTGGGCGGGGCCCGCGGGCCGCGGGCGCCGCCCGGGCCTGCGCGGAGCTCGGGGGGAGGAGGACCCAGACATCGGGCGTCTCGCAAAAATCGAGACGGAGGTTTTTCGTCGTTTTCGGCCTCTCGGGGCCCTCGCAGGGCCTCGGGACCGTCAAAAAACGGCTCGGGGTGAAAAGCCGGTCCCGGGGAGGTGGTCGGGAGGTCGGGGGCCCGTGTCTCGGAAACCTCGAGACGTCGGATATCTGGGGAGCCACGCAGGGGCGAGGCGGCCTGGCTTGCCCACAGGCCCACCGAGGAGTGAAGAGAGAGCGACCCTTCGCCGGAGTGACCTCTGGTGCGGGCCCACGGGGGTCCCCCGAGCGCGGAGCGCGATGCGACGGCAGCGTCTGGCGCGCTTGGGTGCGCCCCCCCGCGGCCTCCCCTGAAGCCGCGCACCAGAGGTCAGTCCTGCTTACGGGGTCACTCTTGCGTGCAGCGCGACTCGGCCACGCGCACAGGGGGGTAGGGAGAGGGGGGGGCAGGCTTCTTCGAAACGCCCCTGCTTCTTCGAAGGCGCGGGCCTTGTCTGTAGATGTGGGGCCGGCGCCTTCTAGGAACCGGCCTCCTCCTAAGAAGCCTCCCCTCATCCCCACACTCACTTGTACGGTCGACGCCGAGAGACAGGTGTGCGTCG